AGATGACATTCTTCTGTTGTTTACTCCTGGATAATATAAGAAATTCAAATATTCTGTTACAACATTTTTGTTTCTTTGTTGTACCATGCACTCAGTGGCATAATGACCTGGATCTGAGAATATTTGCAGTTCTTTTTGAAAAAACATATCACCCTCAGTTAGTTCTTAAGTGAGATATTTTGGCCCTTAAATAAGCAGTTTTCTGGGAAGGATTTCGTGGAACACTTCTTTCTCGTCCCATGTAACTTTAAAGTCTAAATCAAAGTTCATTTTTAATTTGTTAACAGGCACTTACTTTCCATTTTAAATTTGGACAGGTATTTATATAATTGATTTCACACTTGTTTTTGGTTTTGGTTACTGATGTTTAATGGCTTAGTCTGAATAAAGCAGTACCAGATGTGAGTGTATAAGGTATTTCTCCCACCTTCTTTGCATGCCTTCATGGTGTGGTGGTCTGCATGCTGGGTGTGTATTCCAGAGGTTCGTGGTTCGATTCCCGCAGAAGGCATTGCTAATTTTTATCTTGCTTCCAAAAATACCTAATGTCTCTACAAGTGTAAATGTGAATTAACTAACCAATCACATATGGTAAAGATGCATTTTCATTTCACTAAAGTATTTCCAAATTTTGGGCTTAAAGCATTTGTTGATGCACTTCTGCTACCCTTAGCTGCGAAAAAGCACACCCTTTTTATTGAGATAAACAGGATAATATTACTCTTATAGAAGCTTTGCCATTGTGAGTTTTCAAGAGAAGTTTATTTTTCCCTCCCCTATTTAAAATTGCATTCCAGAGCTAACTTGATGCCTTGACCTGGTTTCTTTCTGAGTGAAATGGCTTAGGCTTGTTTGAAAAATAGATCAAAATATATTAGCAAATATTTACAACCATCAATGTGTTTGCCAAAAAACTGCAAATCTGTCAAATCAGATCAAAACTGACTTGACACTTATGACTAATACGCAGTTCCAGTGGAATATGTATTACAGAGGTTGGTATGAAGTATATGAATCTTTGCTGGCAAGTCATTTCTTGATCTTTGTGATTTTCTTTGTCTTTTAGCACATGATATAAAGTATCAACACCCCAAAAACCAGTTGAGAATTTCAGATTGCTATATATGTGAGTCAGACTTATGACATGCACAGTAGTTTTTATTAATGGAAACACAAAGTTCCATCATTATTTACAGTTTATCCTCTACATTTTCATATATCTACAATGTTTCTTATTACCAAAAATCTAACTGCTTGTGGTTATTTACCGGGTTTTATTTAAAATTTCCTATGCATTCTCAATTCTCAATACAGAAGGCACAATATTTTTTTTTTAACTTTCGTAGAATAAAATATCTTTAATTTTATTTTTTCAAAAGTCCTTAATGATACAGTTAGTGGGCTTTAAGAGAAAAATAAGATTTATTTAGATAAATTATTGTAAAATTGACTGGCTATGTCAATGGTGTTTAAGCTTCAAGTAAGGTTATTTACAATTTCCTTTTTATAAATACATAGTTTATAAGCTAGGAATATTTTAAATTAACATGCAGTTGATTTTAAGAAGTATTAAAAATGGCATGAAAACATAGTATTCCGGAAGTTCCATCAGATATATTTTTGTCAGCTTTGATACACGAGGTTGGGGATGATCTGACCGATGCAGGAATAATTTGCAAAACTGCCTAGCATTAACTCCTTGCACAGGACATTTTTTAGAGGTGATCAATGTAATTTTTTTAGAAATATGTCTTTTTCAATGACCTCGGACTTTCAATGAACTATGTAAACATAATCCCTTAACATTAAAACGATACGAAATAACATGAAAATGAAAGCATAACCAAATAACATAATAATAAACACATGTCAAAAATGTATCCTAATTGTATACAAGAACTATCAAATATATTTATGAATTTCATAATTTTAATATTAAAAAGTAAAATAAAACAACACATTATGTACAAATGCACACAACTTAAATGATGAATTCCTTTAAAAAGTAAATATAAGCATTTATTTTTCCGATTACACATTGTTTACATGATTAAGTCATAGATACAGCAAACTAAAATTAATACCTGTATATGGGCAACTAGAAGACATATTCTGAACTCGGTTAGAAAGCTGAAGTTCAACCACACCAGTTTCTAAACGCACAGCACTACTTGTTGGTGTAGTGGCTGTAATTTGTATACCCTACACATAATAAAACAAAAAATATTTATTTCAAAAATGTAGCATATAGAAAGAACAATTTACAATAGAAACACACATTTAAATTATTTATTAATTTTATGAAAATTATGCCAAGATTTAACACTTCCTTTTATACAAATATAATTATACTACATCTACCAAAATAATCTATAAATTTAAATACTAAGAGAAAACATTATACATGGACAGGTAATTATGAGAACTGTTAATGATAGATGGCGAACAACAAATTATATGAGGATTATCTTTGTGGGAGAAATTCTAGTAGGAAACTAGATCATATTTATATTACATGTAGAAGTCCCAGTAGTCATGCACTTACTATTTATCAGCTAACATCAAAACCTAAATGATGCTACAAATATTAAGTTATCTTTCCCACTTGGTACTGGTAGAATATCTAAAGTAGTATCCATAAAAATTATTATATGAAAGTAATATATTCAAGTTAATTATCTATCTACCTAAACTAACCAGTTGTAGGTTTTATGACTTTTTAAGTTTAAAATTTCATCAATTATGAGAAACATTCAAGTATAAGGAAACCATTTAAGACAACAGCAAGCCATACAAGTGTTATCTTAGTAGAAGATATTATATTAAGGAATTAATACACAGGTTATATCCACATGGTTAGGTTACTTTGACATTGCAAGGCAAACAAGGATTATCTAGCACACATCAGAGGGGGGAAAAAAAGGTAATAGTATGCATCAAATAAAATCCAAACTCAAAAGTTATAAATATCAGGTAGAAGTTCTACTTAACAAATGCAAGAATATGGCAGTAGCCAAATAACAATTAATGTATAGTAGAAATTAAACTAGTTACACTAAAAATTCTGAAATATAGGAGTATCTATATCATAAATTAAAAATTCAGCAATAAGCATTACAATACCTAAATATTCTACATTATATTATGGAAGTTAAATGAAAGAAAAATTTCCTTCAATAAAAAAATTACCTTCAGACGCAAAAGTAGAGAAAACAGCAATCTTCTGGGTCTCATGTGAGTCGATTTGTCCTGGTCACCCCACAAAGGCACTGGTTTATCAGCTCCTGACATTTTTTGAAGAACTTCATTGACTTCCTTAAAATGTTTATTAATTTCTCAGATGACAGATACTATAAACATAAATCTCAAATATTCATCAATTTCTTAAAAAAATCTTTGCTAAAATTTTTTTCAATTACCAAATAATGCACTCGTAGAACAGTAAATTATCAGAGCAATAATTACACAGTTTCACCCATATGGCAATGAATTAAGTTTTCTTGTGTACTAAAGGACATGTTGCCTAATTAATAGGTGACCCTTAATATGCCACAATTAAATACTCAACATCATAGATAAACTTGATGTAATTCTTGCTTATTATGCTTTTATTCAAAACTTACTTTTGAGCAAACCTTCCTAAAATGTCTCCATAGAAGAATTTTGCACCGTATGGAATAATATATCCCAACATATCATTAGCAATGTAAGATCAGCAGAAAATGCTCTAGGCCAAGACTGCATATCTTTTGAAAATTTCAAACACCATGATGTTCACTGTTCTACTTGCCTTCAGCACTTCATTATTCTGATGTTTCCTTACAGTAAATACTGTAAAATACTTTTCACTTATTGCTACTTCATAGTCACAAATATCACATCTGGTGACCCAACCATTTACTAGCATGACTTTTTCTCTGCGTACCACTGACTTATTTCTCCCGTTCTGGCCTTTAACTCAATTCATTTCTCAGTTTTCCTGTTTCTATTTGTTCTCAGTTTTCAAGAAGGAAATGATGTTGAGATAACTTAGTCAGGAGCTACATAAAAATGATGGCAATTACGAAAATAAGTACAAGACAAAGTACAACTAAAATGGCAATAACCATCACCTGACAGACTATTCTATAAAGATGGTGAATTCATGTCAAGTAAAGGAGATAAGATGTTTAACTAATTCTTCATTTTACAGCTTATAACATGAAATTAAAATTAATCCAATGCAAACATTACAATAAACTGCTTACAACACCGGAACTAAACCAGCTCAAGATAAGCACATTCATCTCTTAAGCTAATTTTCTATTTTTAAAAAAGATTTCCCATTCACGTTAAAAAGATTTGAGCTCACTCAGGCAGAATGATATCACTTAGATCTGCCAAGGTTACATATGTGAACAAAGACTGGATTCTTTTAACGAAACTCATCTTCTTGTTTGTATTCATAGAACTAAAAACAATTTAGCTCAAGCACTAAAGAAGAACTAACTGTAGTCATATAAACAAGATTTTAAGATCCAAGGGCAAATAAATAAGCGCATAATTCAGATTGGTCATAATGTGATGGTTTTGATACAATAGAAGGGAAACAGAATAATCTGAAATCATCTGGTCTGCTATATATAGCATGCGAAACAGCAAATATAAAAGGCGCTCAACACTGTTTCCCTGCAATTCCAGGGTCTAAAGGTCCACGAACTATAATATAAAATAAGAAAATAAATCTCTAATAAAAGTCTTAGCACTATAATATAAAATAAGAAAATAAAAATCTCTAATAAACTGTTAACTTAATTAGCAATACTTTTTCTAATTTCTTTTTTAGATTTTTATAAGCCAACCTCCCACCATCTGCAATGCATCAAAATTTCTCTCAACTGTGTCATTTCTAGACCAATTCATATACACGACTTAATAATGCTGATGACTTAAATAATGTGAAATCTAAACCTAAACTTTGATGTAACTAATTCAGAACTCAAACCTTTCTCTTGGTGAGCTGCCGTATTGGATAATTGTGCACTTCTGCTTCTACTCCTATTATCGCCAAGATGCTGCTTCTCTGCTTTCTTCCTATTTCAATAATATCACAGCCAAGTTTGCTGTTCCTTACAGATTCAACATTCTACATACTATGCTTTCTAGGTTATTATAACATCATTATTTCTAAATTTCTTTTCATTACATACATATGTAAATATACATATATTCACTAAAGCCTGCACAGTAGAATTCTGAAAATCGACAAAACCAAGTAATGTGCACATATTTTTGGATGTAAACACAATTAAAACCCAAGATGGAAACAATTTTATCAGCAATTTTTATTATATGAATATGCTAATAAGTTTTTTAAAGAAAATTCCACAACATTAATGACATATTTTGGTTGAAAATGCAATTTTTTTTATTAATGAAGTTATTTAGCTTTTCCTGCATGCACGTTTTTGTTGTTATTTTTATTACCCACACAGATCATACTGAGAAGCTCAGCAAATTCTTCCTTTTAGATAGATTCTCAAATTTGAATATTTATGTTGCTGTTTTTTAAAATAATTTTTTAATACGCATAGCAAAAATATATAATGAATTTGTCTCCTCTTTTTCAGATCCTGAGTTGAAATTATGAATGTATTGCTAAGCCTTGACGAAACTGGTTTGTTTATAATTTTTGCAAAACAAGTAGAAATAGCTATTAAAAAAAAAAAAAAAAAAAACAAAAAAAAAAAAAAAAAAAAAAAATTTGCTAAGATTTTCCTGATATGTAACATGGAAAAATAGCAATGAATAGGAGGTTAAGGATTCAGAAATTTTTCTAATAAATCCAAAATTTCAATTCTAGCCTTAAACTAGTGCAAGTGTTATAATTCTGGCGTTAAGACAGAAATAGCATATGGACCCCCCCCCCCCGTTTCATGGTTTCATGAATGTTAATTAAAACTGAAATATTTTATTCAAGAGAATATTTTAATAATTATGAATGGTCACTTTGCATAATATAGAATTATCTTTTTGTGGCAAAAGTTTTCATACTGGACTTCTTTTTAGAATCCGTATTTTTTTTTTTTTTTTTTTTTTTTTTTTTTTAAGAGAAGATTTAGTTTTGCTACTAGAGATGAAAGATAAAGGGTTTGGTATTAATATAACAGTGATGTTTATAGTTTAGTAAAATACTGTTAAAGTAGTAAGTCCTTATCTGCCTTTTACTGAGTTGTTTCAACTAAGAATAAATTACTGTATTTCTTTAACATGCAAGTGTGTTATTTAGCACTAAACTGAATTTAAGACTCAAGACCATTCACATACTTTATTAAGGAGAAATACCTACTGCAGATGCTTGAAGCATTTAGCATATACTAAAACAAGATGTTGCTTTTGGAATCTAATTCTTTCTCCCTTTCTGCAACAAAAAAATTGCTTGTAGTCCGGAGTCCCAGATGTTAGATCATTCAGAGTACCAGATTTACAGATTTCAAACTTTGTACTGTATATTTGTGGCATTTACGTGCTCGACCAACAGCTTTCATGTTATATGCCATTGTATAAGTAATTAAATGGTACATGAAAGCTACATCTCAGCATTTTGATATGGCAATTATGATTTTATTCATTATTATAATTTTAATTACGATTTATTTATATTTTGATATGGCAATTATGATTTTATTATGATTTGATTTTGATATGGCTTCGTAGAAAACAACTGCATATCAGTTTAACACATCAGTTATTCATTCACTGCTAAACTCTATTGAATATCAGGATGCACCAGTTTTGAGCTTATTTCCTATGTCACTTGAAACAAATGGACAACACAATCTAGATAAAGTAAAAGCAACATTCGCTAAAGCTATATCAATATGGAAGTGTTTCTTTTTAATTTTCCCCAATTCAATTAAAAACTCATTATCTCTGCAAAACGTGCTCATCCTGAATTATGCATTTTGCTTTGAAAAAATCTCAGTTTGAAAGAAGTTTGAAAGAATTATAAAGTCACATTTTGTCACATTTAAATCCAAATATGACTTCCATGTACATGTAAACCCTTCATTTGGTTGTTTTATTGATAAAACTGAAATAAATGAAGGCTATTCTATGAATTTGCATTTTCCTGCCTTTAGTGCAAGGGGTGTCCAGCAGACTAGCAGACAAGGAGTAAGTAATGTGTTAATGCCACACTGTCGCAATAAATGCAAAATAATGAAATTTATTAAATTACTATGCTTTCAAAACATAAGATTAGATTCAAAACATACATATACTTAAAAATCCAATACCTTCATAAAAACTTTCTGCACAAGAACCAAATGATTTAGTAAATCAGTTGTTAAACTGTGTTCAAAAGAGCCAATTTCTGCTAAAGCACTTAAATAGCTTCCTTGGCAAAGTACAACACCATCAGTAAATGATTCCAATTTGTTGATGGCAGTATTAGTAGATGTTGGGTCTTGAATATATTCTGCTGATATATGGACCAATGGAAGATCAACACTGGCTGAAGAAGGCATATTTCCTTCTGATGGCTGAACCTGATCATTAAATATGCAAAAATTACTATATATCACAGCAAGCAAAAATAGAATATAATATAATCAGGATATTATAAGAAATCTTGGATTACAGATGATCAAATTATAGCACTCCATATCCACTAATAAATTTCCAAGGTTCTTCAAAAGGACAACTTATTATCCTATAACATAACCAGATGCCAAATTATTAATTTAAGCATGTTATTATATACCTCCTTATATGCACAATAATTTATTATAATCCTTGTAATAAGGATATATCTATATATGTGTATATATATATATATTTGAATTTAACAAATATTCTCTATTCGTATAAAGCTAATTTAAAGTTAATTTAAATTTTAAATTATGAAATTTTAATTACATATAAATAAAAGATTAACTATTGCTGCAAACTAATTTACAATATCATTTCAATTCTGAGAGCATATGTAAATTAAGTGAAAGTATCTAAAACCATGAAAAAAGATATAATAATCCAAAAAAATAATGTCCCAAAAATTTTTTTAAGAATTTTTAAGACTAAACTAATTTGTATCAGTGAATAATTGTTGAGCAGGAAGGAGACAGATCTTATGAAGGGAAAGTTGCCTCCAAACCTAACTCTTCAATTACTCAATTCGTGTTTTGTTATTCATATAGGCATGGGTATAGTAATATTCAAAACCAAAAGTAAAACCAAATGAAGTGAATTACTTAAAAAATTTTAAACTATAAGGAATTTTGAGAAATTTAGTAAGCAAATTGACAAGGAATCAAAATATTAATTAAATGTAAATTGCTAATGTATATATATATACACCTATAACAGGTAATTATAATCAAATTTGTGATTTCAAAACTCTAATTTTAAAACTACTGGTCAGAATGACTTAATATTTTACCAAAACTATCACGAGGAAATGGAATTTGGTTTGGCGAAGGGGGAAAAAATGTTTGAAATGTGCCGATAGATGGCACTGTGAGGGTTCCAATTACGACTGTGGAGGCCCGCAGATTACTGAAATGTGACATGCTTACCATAGACATAACTGTGATAAAAATGCAAAGCACTAGTGGGACACATAATGCTTTGTCACCCCCCCCCCGACTTAAACCCATGAACTTTTTGGCTTTTGGGAAACCTGAAGAATGTTGTTTATAGTGGGACTGCAAATCTAGCCAACTTGAAGGAAAGCATCACGGACCACATTCATAGCATCAGCACAGATACCCTCCGATCTATTGTGCAATATGACATTTTGCACTTCCAACTAGTACCGGGGCAAGGCGGAAGGCATATCGAACAATATATGTGTAAAATCATCCATAAGGTGTTTGTTTCATGAAGGTCCTCTTTTTCTCTCATCACTATCACTATTTTTTCTGTATACACATTTCTTGTCTTTCCGCTAATAAATTTATCGTAAACCATTACAGTCTTTCGTTTCCTTTTAGCTAACAACATTCCTGTGATTTTAACGAATCCATTTAGACCTTTCCCCTGACATCACCATCTATCGGCACATTTTGGAACTAATTTTCTTCTTCACGAAACAAAATTCCTTTGCTTCATGATCTTTCTGGTAAAATATCACATCCTTCTGATCAGTGGTTTTAAAGTTGGAGAGTTTTGAAATTGCAACTTTCATTATAATCCCTCTAAGCAATTAGTAATTTAAGAACTGTCTTTAATACATACAAAAAAAAAAAAAAAAAGAAATCATATGGCCAAAGCAATTCATTGGCCCAGTATTCTCCCACTACTCTGAATGCTTAAGCATAGTATTACTTTCATCTGAACTTTTATATAACCTTATCAGCATTTCTCAAAAGTGAATTAAATTTTGTTTCACCAGCAGCATCTCCATCATCATCTTCCTACATTTTTGCTTAAAAAGTGTCCCTTCCAGTAAGCAAGATATTCGCAATGTCAGGATAAATTTAATCACTCCCTTAAATTCCTACTATCTCCAATGTAGACTCCTTTACTGCAGGAATTTATATATATATATATATATATTATTTAAGGAACAAGGACAATAGTTTCTGCAGCTTTATACCTTATCTTATTCCAAAAAAGAATAAATATATTTTTCATGTATTGGATTGCTTACATTTTGGGGGTGGGGACTGTGTGCTCAAAATAATAGTATTTTTAAAATTTATGTTTTTGATGGTATAATTTTACAATAATTTTATGCTGTTTACTTCGGCTTGTAGGGGTTGGACAGATAAAGACAGAATTTACTTTGTTTTTCTCGGATTATTTTAACTTTGTGTCTTTGTTGGTTCAGAAATAGTCTGATTTTTTATTTTCTTGGTTGCACCAATCCCGATGATGCAGTGAAAGATGTAAATTCCATATTCATGTTCAATTTCAACATGATTTGCCCCCTTTTTCTAGCAATTTGTAGTAAGCTTCTGGTTTTTTCGTTTTTGCATATGTTTATTCCGAATTGAATATCGGATGAATTTTATATGTTTTATTTGTTTTAATTTATTTTGCTTTTAATGACTATATGTAAGACATTATTATTGAATTATTATAATTACCCCATTTAAGCCATTCTACAGCAGTCCCAGTTACACATAAATTCAGCTTAAAGACATTCTCTTATCCTTATGGGTAACATGGGGGTCTGCTTGCAATTTTAACTATGCAGACATAATGAATTGCAGATTCTAGCAGACATATTTGTTATTTGTTATTTTTGTTCACCACATGTGATCGTCTTTTGTACAGCTGCAGGACTTTTAAAATTTAAGCCCTGCCCAAATTCTGGATTTCTATAAACAATATATTGTCATTCACAGAAAAGCAACAAATACAGGGTTGATCAAAGGAAATTGAAACATCCGCATGTACAGAGAACTACTTTATCAATATGAGGGCTTTCTTTTACAGGCAGATATTCGAGTGACTTCTACAGGAAAGATAGATACAAATCTTCTTCAATTATTAAGATATTTTAATCATTTCTCTTGCAAAAAGTAGCTATACCACTTCATCATAAAGGATGAAAGAATTTTTGAACTCTGTCCCTTACCATACTCTAGACAGATTTGATAGTACTATGATAAGAAATTCTTCAGAGCATGGAAGAAACTCAGTTTCATATTTTGCAAACTACTTTGCTAACAGTTTTGCAGCGTGAACTAATAAACTGCCATCTGGTACACAGAACATTCTTTGTGCTACAAATTTTTAACAACTAAACAAGACTCCGTTTATTAATAATTCTTAACAGTGATAAGACTGACAAAAAAAATTAATATTCCCTCAAATTTTCATGATAATGCAGCCCAAACTGCCTCTAATTGATCTCCATGCTCCATTCTTAAAATGAGAGAGTAAGGATTATATACTTATAAATAGCTCTCCACATGTAAACTCCCCTAGAAGTGAAAATGACAGTAAAGATGGATTTATCACTGATTAATACATATTTTTGATACCACTGAAAACAGGGTTTAGTATGAATGCTGGTTACCAATGGCTTTGCAATAGCTGCCCAAACATGAATATTTATCCTATGAAGCTCTTAAAAGAAGTTTCACAGAAATGGCCGAGTTTAGAAAAACATCAATTTCTGACATAATTTGAGTAGGCATATTATGCTTTTGGCTGCTATTCTTTTTAACACTATGGAGTTCTTTTTAAATCATTAGCTACATCAGTTAATATTCGGGACTTTACCGGAACTTGAACCCCCCAGTTATTCCAGTGTTTAAATTCTAGCACAATCCAGTACAGCCAGGATATTAAATGAGATGAAATTCAGTATTTTAATTTAGTATTTTATTTATCCTCCAATATTTTATTTCATTTTAATTACTAACTATTTTATTTATTTATGTTTACTTTGCCTAAGAATTTTCCATAGGACGCCAACATTTTAAATTTTAGAAATTAAGCCTCTCTCTTTAAAATGAGTTGAGATAACGTTCTCTTATCTCAACAATTACTTCCATTGGGCTAAAGTCTTCCCTTTACAAATATACAGACATATGCCTACATACTGTGGCCTTTGGTATATAAAAATTATCTTCTGCTGTCTTGGCAACAGACATTCAGCCAAAGAAGAATCAACAAATCATCTTCTTTTAAACTCTGATACATCACACATTTATACCTTGCAGTTCTTGTTGCTAGAAGACAGCAGCACTAATAATGTTCACTATTCAAAATATTGATAAAATTAAAAGTCATTCAAGGTCCATATGTTGGCTTAAATTTGAAGTGTTATATTTGTTAAATGTTTGTTTCATTGTGCAACCCCTGCCTACTGCTTCAGATTTCAACTTCTTACATGAATGAGAAAGCTTCTTTAACAAATATGAAGAACAAACAAAAATTATTTACCTTCTGTTATAGAAATTCAAGCTCATTTCTTTAAAAGTTTAATGCCAAATTAAATATATGTGCACCAAAAGACAAGATATGGTTTCACACCAGTAAATTTTATTACCTAAATTGGGTTTAAAAGTAATGGAGTAGTAGATTAAAAATCTGCTTAATTCAGGATTTGAGTTTGGAAGGATTATAAAGCTTTAAGGATTTCACATCAAAACTAAAAGTCATTATATTTAGACTAACAAATTCTATAATATGTTCAAAGAAAATTAAAAGCACATAATTAATTAATTAATTAATTTTAGGCATTTTTATAGAGAAATATATATTAAGTTCACTGTAAGAATTATTTTAAACGACTTTTTTAGAGATGTATTATAATCTTACGTTTTAATATTTAAATAAATTTAAAATAAAAAGAATCTGAGAAAAAGTTACGTTGATTGGAATTAAACTGGACTCATCATTTAAGGTAGAATTTGGAAACAAATCCCTCATCTCATTCTGAATGACTTGAAAGAAGAATACCTTGAACTATTCAACAAGGCAATCACTATTCTGTTAATATTCACAGGCACCACATTAGTGGGGAGGGCTTTCTTGTTCTACACTTACTTAAAAATAAGTACAGGAAACAGATTTTTTTCAGCGCAAGTTT